GCAATTTCAACATAATGCATATTCTATTCTGGCCGATCTCTGCTGGCTGTTGATCGAAACACGAGCGAACGATCTCTCTGTGCCTCGATGTCGTTGGATTCTGTGGGAATTTATCGTCTTCTCAGCGAGCTAAATTCAGTTTTTTCGAGTGTTCAACCGCTTGTGCCACTCACGTCGAGAGTATTTGGCCCGAAATTGGAATATTTTCTCAGTTTATCGTACATCGAGATCCAACCCAGGCGAAACAAATGATAAATTTATTACTTAGTAATTTCTATCCAGTGATACACCGATGGATTCAAAAAGTAGACGAATTATTGTATACGGTCACTCGTTATGGTCCGTCAAATGGTTCTTCTCTATTCTATATTCAATCGTTATACATTTTGTTATTAATTTATTAACAGAATCAAATTCTAGAAAATTACATATTACTTTTGATTTCAAATTTATAAATTATATATTTGAATCATGAATATTAATTTATTCGATATTGCCATTATTATTTAGATTTGTGTTGAACTGAAATTTTTTATATGAAATAATTAAATTTAAATTTAAATTTAATTTAAATTTTATATTTTTGCTTGATACGAACATTGATAATAAATATGATAAACATAAGTATGATGAAAATTTAAATTTTCCAGCGCAAGAGGATAAATCATATCAGAGTATCAGAATTTTTTAATTACTTTAACCTCCTCAGGGACGAATCTTTAATTTCGGTAATAACGAAAATTACATATTACTTTTGATTTCAAATTTATAAATTATATATTTGAATCATGAATATTAATTTATTCGATATTGCCATTATTATTTAGATTTGTGTTGAACTGAAATTTTTTATATGAAATAATTAAATTTAAATTTAAATTTAATTTAAATTTTATATTTTTGCTTGATACGAACATTGATAATAAATATGATAAACATAAGTATGATAAAAATTTAAATTTTCTAGCGCAAGAGGATAAATCATATCAGAGTATCAGAATTTTTTAATTACTTTAACCTCCTCAGGGACGAATCTTTAATTTCGATAATAACAAAGAAATTTCATTGAAGTTCATTTTTAGTTTTTTACTTGCATTATGACAATTGGGATTTATTTTCTGGTTAGCAAGTTTAGTAAAGATTCTGCATTTATTTTTGGTTTCGCGAATGGGAGTAACTTTTTCATAAGATGTAAATTAACTGTTCACATATGTGATCAAGTGAATGAAAACGTTAATTCATTGTATCAGATAGTAATAAAATTATGGTTAGAGGTAATGCAAAGGAGGTAACATGTTACAGTATATTGAATACGATCCAAATCAAGCAAAGTTTAACCCTATTACTACGTAATGTACCTCTCAACAGATAATGAACCTGTAAAGTTAGGATCGAAAGTGTTCGTATCAAGCAAAAATCTAAGATCATTTATGTCGAACAAAATTTCATGTAATTACCAATGTAATATCAATAAATCAATTTAATTGTAAATTTAATTGTAATATCTTTTAAAGATCTAAGATTATGTACAAGACGGCTTGTATCGAACAAAAATTTTATCTTTTGTTACACAGTGATTTCAAGAGAAAGATTTATTATATTATTTATTCTGTATATCAGATAAATTCAAAGTGCATTCTCAATTTGTCACTTGCTCCTCTGTTTAGGCTTTAAACACTCGAAGGATTAGTAAATAATTTCGTTACACGAATGTTCAATTGTATTTTGCATTTTAATGTGAAATTCCTATATGTACATCTTGGTTTACTTGGTAATTTTTTAATTACTTTAATCCGCTACATGTCGTACAGTATTTCATTCAGAATATCTCTACTATTTCCAATGGTATCTAGTGTGGTTAATGACTTGTCAAAAAATTGCCACGTCTCTCCAATAGTGACAGAAATCATCATACATAAAATATTTATTCCTTTTTGTAACGTTAATTCCTTCTGTTTAAATAATTAGTCGAAAACTGACTCATAGAGACGTCAGACGCAAGACGAAATACATTTCAATAAGAACCATTTGTGCGGATATTAACTGACTGAAGGACCAGTTAGTTGGAGCCAGTCTGTGCATCGTACATACGTATTTGCCTTGGGTCTGACCTGAACGTCTTAATTCCCTGTTCGCGGAACGCCAGGTCTCCCCAGGTCGCTTCGTGTCGTCTAATTTACCAGGAAATTAGTTGCTGACTAATTAAACGAAGCCAGTGCATCGCCGGCGCTGTTCAAATCAAACTAATTAACATCGCAGAATCGATCAACGAATCTTGTCTCTTCAGAATTATGACAAGTAATCATTGCACTTACGTTCAATGATTAAAAGCTAAAATCAGTCCACGAATTTATATATATATTATATAAATTATAAAATATAATAAATTAAAATAATATTATAAATTTATATTAATAATAAATAGTATTATAAAATAAAATAAATTATAAATTATAGAATAATATATAATATAAAATTTATATTGTACGTTATTATTAATATTTATATATCATATAATATTTATATTATAATTATTATTAATAATATATATTATATAAAATAATAATATAATGTATGTTATTATTATATATTAATTATATATATAATCAATATAATAATATATATTATATATAATTATTATTAATATTTGTATTATATATTCACGGTTAATCACGAGCGTGAAGTATTCACGCAAAGTCACTAGAACTATTCATCGCAAAGTCGCTGGAAAGTCTCAACTGAGATTCCCACCCCATGCCCGATATCAATCAAAGCGTACTCAACTCGAAGCTCAGTGCCACCACTTTAGTCCCGAAGAACTAAAAGTACTTTCCACGAGAGAAATCGATGTTATTTGTTAGCGCTAGTGCATTTTTGAGACAGGAGCTCGAGGCGTTTAGTTTATGGCAGTGTTGACAGACAGCGAAGGAAACTTTTTGTCCGAACGAAGAACGCCGGATGGAGGATGATAGTCAGTGATTTTTAAGATCACGTGCGAGGATTGGCTAGCGATGCCACGATACGGTGGTGTATCAAATGAGGCAGAGAAAACTTAAATATATACGTCTCATCTTGTAACAATTTCCACCTAACTGTCTCTTCATTTGCCTTCGTAATAAATGTTTGAAATTGTAGTGTGACTTTATGGACACCCTGTACATTCACGTTTCGACTCGGCACGAAGGTAAACGCGTGAAGCTCCATTGTTAAACGCATCAATCACCGATTTCGAACGACCCGGCGGGGGAAAAAAACCCGGGATTTCCCCAGGATCAGACGTCGTTCCTATCGATGGATTAAAATAGTCGTCTCTCCGTGATAGATGGAAGCCCTCTGTTCGCAACTGAAACCAAAAGCCGACGCTAATTACCTACCATCTACGTTCGCTCACGTTTTATTCCTGTTATCTCTGATTTTTCTCTCTTTCTCTCTTTCTCTCTTTCTCTTGCTCTCTGTGTCCATTCGAAACTCCGCGGTCGAACGAAAGAGATATCAAAGCCCGACTCAAAGTCGAACTTCGAAGATTCCTCCTCTCCGGGCCACCGATTTCCGCTAACACAAGATTCAACTAACTGGATAATTGTTTCAACGTGTTTCGGCTCGCGAGCAAGTGGATTCGATTGTCCACGACGGTAGTTGATCTCGTGGAAAGGGATCGAATTTTCCTGGTCATTTATTTTGGCCAGGAAGATGTCGGCTTACCCGTCGATTGTTCGATTTGTTGAAGTGGCGATGGTTAGTTTAGGTTAGGATTTTTGTAATGGCCTCAGTATTGTTTTTCAAATTACAGCTTTCGTTTCAGCTTTTCTTGTTTCGTTTAAACTGTCATATTTATCATCACTGATTATTAATTTGTATCTCCATATTTTTATAAATATGCCTATTATATTTCCATAACATTAATAATACAATAATGCTGCCTTTGTATAATGAAGAATTTTATCGTAGGTTATTTATGTTAGTTTATATCTCAGCTACTAATGAAAATGATACTAATTGTTTGATTGATATCTCAATATTTTTGTAAATATGTCTATCATTAGATATATCATTAAAAATTGTTATATTCAATTAGAGAGCAAGAGTTATTTTATTTTAGGTTATTTATCTAATAACCAAGTTAGGATAATTAAATATTGAAAATAATATTAAAAATTTAATTTAAAATACTATTTAATATAATATGAATGTGTATTATACGATATTAATATAATTTTAAAAATAGTATTAATAATTTATTTAATAACCAAGGTAGGAAAATTAGATATTAAAAATAATATTAAATAAATATTTAAAAATTAAATAAATATTAAAAATAATATTAAAAATTTAATTTAAAATACTATTTAATATAATATGAATGTGTATTATACGATATTAATATAATTTTAAAAATAGTATTAATAATTTATTTAATAACCAAGGTAGGAAAATTAGATATTAAAAATAATATTAAATAAATATTTAAAAATTAAATAAATATTAAAAATAATATTAAAAATTTAATTTAAAATACTATTTAATATAATATGAATGTGTATTATACGATATTAATATAATTTTAAAAATAGTATTAATAATTTATTTAATAATCAAGGTAGGATAATTAAATATTAAAAATAATATTTAAAAAAAATATTAAATAATAATATTTAATATATTATGTTATATATTTTATTATATAATAATTAAAAAATATTAAATAATAATATTAAATGTTAAAAATAATATTTAAAAAGTCTTTAACATTTAAAATTATTTAAAAATACGAAAAAATAAAAGTGTAAACTTCACGAGTGAGTATGTTAACGCTTAATCATACATGATCCAACAAAAAGAGCTATTCTTTCGCGAGAATGAGAATGAACGTTTGTAAGGAGCCAGTGATTGGTGCTGGATTACGTAATCGTTGTCATTTTACCTAGAGACAATTTTGACAGTGCTCGAGCGATTCTGTTGGAAAACACACACACACACACTAATTCGTCGTTCTCTTTCAGGTCGGCAAATCCCGAGGGAATTGGAGCGCGCGCTGCGGGACCAGTTGGTAAGTAATTTGCTGAATCCTATTAGAGCAACACCCAACGCCGGTGAAAACTCGCGTGAAAATTCTGGCCAACGACACGCGTTCGCTTCTTCCTCTTTTTTCCTCCTGTCATTGTGGCAAGGCTCGCGTGCCAGCCTCGAGGACACGTAACTGTGGTCTAGCGATGCCTTACAAATTAATTAACCTCTAAGCGCTAATGGAAACAATCAACCGCGTTCGCGAGGTGCAGGAACAGAAAGTTATTGGATTTGTTTGTGAAAGCAGTGTTAGGTATTGTTCAATCCCCGTTGTATCTAGAATTATTGGCCTAATAATTATTTAGACCTAATTACTGTACGTGAAATTATTGATTTAATAATTGTTTAGGCCTAATTATTATGTCCGGGATAATTAGGCCTAATTATTACACTTGAAATTATTGGAGCTAATGATTGTATAAACTTAACAATTATTAGACCTAAAATTATCTGAAATTATTAGACCTAATTATTATACCTCAAATTAATAGAGCTAATTATTATACCTAATATTATCAGAGCTAATAATTATTATATCTGAAATAATTATTATACTTAAAATTATTGGGCCCGATAATTGTTTAGATCTAACAATTGCTAGATCTAATATTATTGGTTTAATAATTGTTCAGACTTAAAATTATTGGACCAAATTATTATACCTAAAATTAATAGAGCTAATTATTGTACCTAAAATTATTAGAGTTAATTATTATATCTAAAATGATTATTATACGTAAAATTATTGGGCCCGATAATTGTTTAGAGCTAACAATTGTCAGATCTAATATTATTGGCTTAATAATTGTTCAGACTTAAAATTATTAGACCTAATTGTTGTACCTGAAATTGTTAGACCCAATTATTATACCTAAAATCAGTAAACCTAATAATTAGACCTAAAATTTTTGGTCTAATAATTATTTAGGATCTAACAAATCGAACTGTAATATTTTCATATTTTTGTAAACCTAAACTACTAAATTATTACCATGTATATTTTGTATTATTGTGGACCTAAAATATTATACTCCGGAGGAAACCAAGTGACTCGTTCAAGTGTGTTTGATAAGTCTGATTTTGAGTTTAGCAATTATAGCAATTATTTTGTAGCTAATGCCTGCTTAATATGATATTTTAAATTTTAAGGTACAGGAAATACACTTTTTGAATTAAAAAAAAGAAATATAAAAAAAATTTTCGAAAAATTTAAAGACGAAATTTCAAAAATTCTCCAAATCAGGAGAACACGCATTTTGAAGAGAGAGAGAGAGAGAGAGAAAGGATAATACAGCACAAAGAACAAAAGTTTCTGAGCTAAAGAATTCACCAAGCTGCACAGATTGCCACTTGCTCGCGTGATTTTTCGTCCCACCCCTAACCGGGGGTGGAGATTTTCAATATCCACCCGATGAAATTTATGCGAGCCAACGGAGAACGATCCTCCGTGTCTCACTCCCCGGGGGAAAAAAATCGCCGTACTAACTTCCATTCCTCCAAGTGTTTCCCCTTTCTTCTAGGTGTGAAAGTAAGAATAAAAGCAAAGAAGAAAAAAACGGGTGCGAGCGAGTAGGATTTTTTTTCACGCGCTCGCGTAAATATTCGATGGCTGTTCTGGATAGGCTCTCGGAGAGACGCGTGTGAGCTCCTTCACCGAGCGTTGAACGTAATCCGAAATTCGTCGCACGCCTCCCCGGATACCACTTTATCCGAAGAACTCGACTTTCGTCCTTGAAGATTATGAACATATGTAATAATAACCTCTTTTCACACGATATTTTACGTAATATTTCACATAATGACCTTTTTTATAATACTTTATGTGATATTTCATATAATAATTATATTCATATAATATTTTATATTATATTATAATAATTAATTCAATAATAATTATATAATTATTTTACACAATTGTTATATATAATTATTTTATTATATAATATATTTTATAATTATATAATATATTATATAATTATATTTTACAATAATTCAATAATAATTATATTCATGTAATATTTTATATTATAATTGTATTCAATAATAATAATTACATAATTATTTTATACAATTATTATATATAATTAAATAATAATTATATAATTATTTTATTATATAATTATATTATACAATAATTTATATAATAATTATATTCATATAATATTTTATATTATATTATAATAATTATATTCAATAATAATAATTATATAATTATTTTATAAAATTATAATATATAATTAAATAATAATTGTATTATTTTCTACAATTGTTATATATAATTATTTTATTATATAATTATATTATACAATAATTATATTCATATAATATTTTATATAATAATCTTTTTTTTCATATTTTTGACGTAACATAATATGGTATATTGTATTTGTATTATATCATATTTAATATATTTTATACAATATTACAATATATATAACTACTGAAATTTTCGTCTAAAAACGAAAAGAAACCTGTTAATTTCTATAATATATACAACTTCTATATTGTCTATCTATAATATATATATCCATAACTCGCAATCTAATATTTCTTTGGAAAAATGGCAGAGAAGTTTCTGGATCAATTAACACGCGTGCGTGCTAACAGCGACTTCATGAATTTGGTTTCACTAACGTTTGATTTATCATCAGTCAGTGAGTCTAAATAATTAAATGATAAAATTGTAATATAAAACTATAGTATAACTGACTGTTAACGTTATTCGAAATATATATACATTACATCCAGAACCATAAAGTCGCTGTTAGTCCGCAATGTGCGCCTGCAAATGATTAAGAGACTTTTTTGTCATTTTTCAAAAGATTTACACATGGTTCCTCAAAAAAAGTTTTACCTTCGTGACAAATAAAATACAATGCAACCAAAGAAAAAAAAAGTTGACCTTGAAATCCAACATATTATTTATATATGTATATATTTATATATTTATGTTTATATTTATATATTTATATGTTTATGTATATATTTATATATTTATGTTTATATTTATATATTTATATATTTATGTTTATATTTATATATTTATATATTTATATATTTATGTTTATATTTATATATTTATATTTATATTTATATACTCAATGTTCCATCAAATGGAAGGTGTAGAATTCATCTGCGACAGCCACGAACAAACTTTACAAAGAGACGGATCCAATCGCAGGTGGTGCTCGAGGAAAAGCCTGAACCCCTCTCGAGGCCCATAATCTCTCCACTCTAGAGTGATTCGTTCGGTCTGTTCGGAGAACGATGCCTCCTCCTCGTTGTCGAGCTTCGTTCCATCAGCTTGGTATTCCGTAAACGTTATCACGTGTGAATTCGACGACCGTGTCGAGTGTTCGTCTTTGGAATGGTACGTGAAGCTACTGCAGGAAAGTAGTCGGCCGCGTGTTGTTTCGTCACGTTCGACCTTCCTTGAACGACGACCATTTCGTTAACACGAACGAGATGATTCCAACTTCAGTTAAATGAACTTTCTCCCCACACTTTTTGCATTTTATTTCTTTCCATTTCGTTTCGTTTGCGAGAATCTCTCGTAGGGGAGCAGACAGGATACGTTTTTTCGTCTCGGTTGTCGGCTGAACGAAGGATTTATGCTACGTTCGCTGAATGAAGATTACGCGTGTACGTCGATCGCTCGACAGAGGGTTTTTATTATTTGTTATTTAAATTCGACGGTAAATTGTCTCGTGGAATGATTTGTCCGTAGCGCGGGATTTAAATCGACGCCCGTCCCCTCGCATTTTTTAACAAGCGGTTGTAAATTTCGTGTCTTTTTAACTTCTGAAAGGTTGTTACGATTGTTTTTGTGTACTTGAAGCGCTGCGTGATTATTATTTGGAAGTTGGATTTTCTTGTTGCTTGTCAGTTGTGAATTTTTGAAAAATTGGAGATTTTAAATCCCCTCGCGTAAATTTTAGTATTTTTACTGAAATTAATTCCAGTATCTCTACTAAAATTAACTCAAAATTCTCAGTTGGTCATAAATTCTTGAAAAATTCAGAGAAAAAGATTTTAAATTTTCTCGCGTAAATTCAGTATTTTTATTGAAATTAATTCCCAAAATCTGTAGTAAAATTAACACAAAATGTTTCCCAGTCAGAAATAAATTTTTGAAAAATTCAGAGTAAAAAATTTTAATTCCTCGCGCGTTGATTCAGTATTTAATTCTCAATATCTCTACTAAAATTAACTCAAAATTCTCAGTTGGTCATAAATTCTTGAAGAATTCAGAGAAAAAGATTTTAAATCCCCTCGCGTTGATTCACTATTTTCACTGAAATTAATTCCAGTATCTTTGCTTATTATAATATTACATATATTATACATTAAATATTATATTAACATATAAAATACACGTTACGTGTTAGAACCTAACACGACGATTTTACGAGAAAAATGTGTAGAATTGACACGGGACAAGGGACGGACGCACATACGTATGTAGGTCACGCATCGAATCACAGTTTTGCTGAGAATCCGACGTTTAAAACGCGCGCTTTCGAAGTGACACGTGACTCAGAAATTGCCCCTCCAGGCAGAGAGCGACGCGCGAGAATTGAATTTTCGATGGTTGGCGGCGATGGGAGATGAAATCGATGGAACGACGGAATTATGGAGCAGATTGAGTTCTGTTTGGATTTGTTATTTTCCGGAGGTGTTCGCTGACTCAGTCGCGACGCGACACTCGCAGGGATAAAATAAAAAAAGAAAAAAAGGATGTCCCGCGTGCAAAAATCGACTCAGCGAGGAACAGAGAGAGAAACAACGCTACCGATTTATTTACGACCTTGAATAACGCTACCGATTTATTTACGACCCTTGTTTCAAGTACGTTCTTATCTTTGTCTTTCTTTTTCATTTCCTTTTTTCTTTCTTTCTCTTCTCATGTTCCTTTTTTTTTTTTTTTTTTTTTTTTTTCTGATGAAAATTCTACGCTTTATTCCTTTAATCCCAGTTGCAGCGTTAAAAATTTGTTAGAAGCTGAT